GGGAGAGCCTGCAGAGGGACCCTCAGTGAATTAGAGAACGGCAATGACCAACGATGTGGAGTTCAACAAGGGAAAATGCTGGACTCTGCACTGAGGATGGGACAGCCCTGGATGTATGGACAGACTGGGCATGAAAAGAACCTGGGAGTCCTGGTCGATGACACGTTGAGTCAGCAATGTCCTGGCAGCCAAGAGGGACATTCCTGTCCTGGGCACACCAGGCCCAGCATGGCCAGCCAGGCAAGGGAGGGGATTGTCTTGCTGTGCTGTCCACTGGGATGGCACTGCCTCAAGTCTAGGGGAGATTGGGCACTACAGTATAAGAATGACATTAAAACTATTAGAAAGTGACCAAAGGAGGGGCAGTGAGTTGGTGAAGCACCAGGAGGTGAAGCTGTATGAGGAGTGGCTGAGGCCACTTTGTCTGTTCAGCCTGGGGAAGATGGGACTGAAGGGAGACCTCATTGCAGTCTGCAACTTCCTTGTGAGAGGAAGAGGAGGAGCAAACACTGATTTCTTCTCTGTTGTGTCCAGTAACCTGAGGGAATGACCAGAAGTTGTGTCAGGGAAGATTTAGGCCAGATACTAGGAAAAGATTTTTCACCCTGAGAGTGTTTGGGCCCTGGAACAGACTCCCCAGGGCAGTGGTCACAGCCCCAGCCTGACAAGGCTCAAGAAGCGCTTGGACAATGATCTCAGGCAGAGGGTGTGATTCTTGGGGATGGTTCTGTGCAGGGCCAGGAGTTGAACTCAATGATCCTTGTGGGTCCTTTCCAACTGAGCTTATTCTGTGATCACTCAAGACCAGGGCTGCACTCAACCTTTGACAATTCTCAAAGCCAGGAACAAGTGCATGGTCACACTCTAACATGTCTGTACACTGAGGTACATGCTGTGGGAAGGAAGTGAGAGGTATTAGAAGTCTGAATGCTTTTGCAGGGATATGATTTTGCTGGTGTCACAGTGACATGGAGTCACTCGTGTGACTCCACACAAGTGGAGTGCTCTGGATAAACAGGCATTTTCAGGAAGGGCAGGCTGGGGCACCAACAAGGGAGATTGCATTTTCAGCAGGTCAGCAGGGATCATCTCTTCTGCTCAGTGCTGTTGGGATGCATCTGTGCTGGGTCCCCCAGTATGAGAGAGACTCCTTCCTGTGATACCCAGGGACAGGATCAGAGGCAGTGGGCACAAACTGCAACACGAAATGGCACTTAACATAATAAAACCTGTCATCATTTAAGGGTGATGAAACTCCAGGGTAGATGATGTAAAGAACTTGTGGAGTCTCTGCCCTTGGAAGATGATTAACACCCAACTAGATATGGACTTCGACTGCCTGCTCCAGCTGACAGAGCTACAAGCCTGAAGTCAATTGAGGCGATCTCCAGAGGTGCACGCCAGTAGGAGCAATTCAGTCACAGTGTGGTACCTTCTTCACAGTTGCTTGTAGCTGGTGGCTCCATTTAACTGTTCCCTTGTTTGCCATGTCTTCTTGATGCTGAGGTAACTGCTGTAGCACGAGTTATAAGGGAAAAAGTATTTTATTTTTACAGATGACGAAATGGAGGCACAGGGTGACTTGCTTACAGTTACTCCTTAGGTGAGGGTCAGGGTCTCAGTATCTACGTATGACCTTTTTTACCTTGACTTTTGCTTTAGTCTGAAGGCATGACTAGTCTCAGATTTACCTGAGAAAACCCAAGTGTTTATTGGTAGGTGCTATTTGAATACTTGCCTTTTCTCATCTTCATAAGTCTTTTCTTTCTTTAATGACCTTGAACTATCAGCAGAATTTTTTGTAGCAAAAGAAAATTTTTTTTCCTCTTAGAACTAAACATTTATCAACTTACAGCTCCATAGCACCAGCAAAACATTTTAAAATATATCTTAGTAATAATTAATTGCAGCCCTCTGTAAAGCTGCTGGCTTTGAAACACAATTGCTCAGCCTTTCCTTTTCTTCCTTTCCTCAACAGGTAGCAGTGAAGTGTTAGTCATTTAAAAATAAGACAAAGGGTTTTGATGCATATAGAGAAAAGAGGAGGGTTACAAAAATGTCAAAGTGCCATGCCACTATAGGAAGAAGAGTTAGAATATTAGAGAGACTGCTTCAAGAAGTAGTTAATAACAACAAAAAAAAAAGAATATGGCAGCAGGGAAAATAATTAAATATTGCAATTTATTGTGACTGATTGACCTGAGTGTCATCTTTGAAGAAAAGGAGCACAAATAAGGCCCAGGTGCGCCCAGTAAGCCCTCTGATTGCAAGGACACAAAAGGTATCAATGCTTGTCCAAGTCCTCAGAGCAGAACAGTAGTTCTGTCACAGGGAAAGAGCAATAAAATGTGTTCATTTTTGCCATATGGCTGGTGGAAGGAGAGACCCTGCTGCAGAAACACTGCTGTGACAAAAGGTCTGACCACAGCCTCTTGTCTCTCTGTGCCCATCTACTGCTGAGAAATTGCTTGCCCATTTCTAACCCCAAGAATGTCCATATGCCATGAAGCTTTCAGAGAAAAGGCTGACTATTAACACCTTTTAAAATCAATGGAAATAGGACCATGTGTTTCAAAAGCAGCAAGAAAGGGGCCAAAGAATGTACAGTGTCTCAGAGTTTGGCTTCTCTGAGGCTTTGTGTTTATCCTGGGATTTTCTGGGTTGAGAAGTATTGTAGAAAAACAGTTCTGTTCTGTCTAAGAATACAGTTTTCTAACCAAAACTAGTTACTGCTGTTCTTCTAAACCTCACAGCCCTCGAACTTGCAGTTTACCTACAGTGTTCACTAAAAGACAATGTGGGTTATGTGCTGATTTGCTTTGGAATTAGGCTTCCTTTTTTCTCACTTTTGTATTGCCCAAGGTGACCTTTTAAAAACCTGACAGGTTTGGTTTCTTACTGAGATTCTCTCCCAACAGGGAGACTGATGACAAGAACAAAAGAGATGAAAGTACTGCCAAAAATGTCTGAGAAGGGAGCAGATTTGGCAAGTGCTTTCAGTGTGAGGAAGGTGAGGGAATGAGGAGCTGCTCTTCCTAACCATGCACACTCTAGGAATTTATTATAAGGTTTCTGTCTCTGGAGAGATGTTCCCTGAACTTGCAAGGCAGAAATGCTGAGAAGAGGAAAACAGTTTCCCCTTTGTTTAGCCTGATAAGATCCAAGCAGCTTTTAGATCTGTCTGATGGACATCTTTTTTACAGCTTTTTTGGTTTTCTGGCACAATGATGAGTGGATGAGGCAATGGCTTGTGGATTATAGAGCAGATGGATAATTGGTAGCTCCTTTCTTTCAAGAAAAAATCTGGGAATCATCTTCTGGACAAGGAACATGCACAGGGTATAAGACTAAACAACCATTCATTGGGATGAGAGAGTACACTGCACTGCTGTTGCACTCCTTAGTGTTTGTTTATATGTCAGAGTGGGCAAAAGTCCTCAACTTCTTCTACCTTGAACCTGTCTCTAAGACATGGCTAAAAATGTCACCCAAACCATCATTTGTATCCATAAATCTGAAGTTTGAGAACAAGAAAAGGGAAAGTAAGGGTTGTATTTTGGTGCTTTTCACTTTGTGCAGATCTTTGTTCCTTTTGTATTTTGCTTTATCCTAGTTCTCATTTTCACCTGATTCTCCCACTATCAGTCCCTTCAATTTTCAGAGAGATGCTTGCTTCTTTGCATACAAAGACACATTAGAAATCAAACTATACCTCAGCATCTCCCTGTGAACAGTTTTGCTTGGGTACCACGTGAAGATGATAGCAGAGCACAGTCCTGAAAAGCATACTGAAAAGATGTGTAAGTCTGTTGTGTCAGAATCCTGCGTCCTGTCAGGATCTGTTGCTTCTCGACACTTGGACAGTAAATTGTCCTGACACCTCTATGTAAGTGAAAATAGTCATTAAATTAAAAAGCCTTTAGAGTTCATGATGGATTTAACAGCTTTTATGAGCCATTTGTACAGTGAAAACCCATTAGTCAGTGAACCATTATCAGGGTTGCAGGGCAACTTGGAAGCTGTTTAAGCCACAGGCAGCTTTTCAGCTTTCCAGAGCAGTCCCTGTATTGGGCCTTTTTGGAGGACACAGATACATGGAAATAAAATGTGTGTGCCAGTCAAATCAATGGTTTTTTATGGAATGAGTATGGTACTTCAAAGCAAAATAAACTGCTATTTTGTGATTTTGATTACTGAAACTAGGCAGACAATGAATTATGACAAGATTTTGCACTATTTCTGATGGACTGGGTGACTCATGTCAGTGTAGTCCAGGTTAAGAACTGCTGTCAGAAAGAATCAAACTCAAAGTAGCCTCTCACAGAAGAACACATCTTGTTCAAAGTTAGAGGGCAGATTCAATACCAAGTTCTGATTAAACTCTTTGGACTTGCTCTGAGTTTTCAGGACTTTTTATTACTTTCCTATAGGCAAGTATCAGAGAAAGTTTCATGAATTTGGGTGTTTCTGAGGCTGGAGCAGACCAATAGGTGGATCCAGAGCATGGTTTAGAGGAGTAAACCCTGAATCCTTTTAATCACAATTTGTACACCAGTCTTTTGAGAACACCCTGGCAGATATTTTCTATGTTCTGTCCTTCTTGTGGGCATGAGGTGGAAAGTGTTCCTCCTGCATTTAGAAGAAGCAGTGAAGAATATTCCAAAATCCTCCTACCAAACAAGTGGCTGTTCACAAGTTCTGTTGAAGTACAGAAGTTTTTACTGGTGTGTTAGAAGCTGGATTTCATGGAGTCAGTAAGAGCTCTCTTAACAAGTCCTGGAGATGATCCAGCATTTTGTACTATTTGTTTTAGTCAAATGCTGGATAGGCACAATAACCAGTCCTGTGAGTGTAACTCATTTTTGGTCAGTCCCAAGTGATCACAGGTGTTTTCCATATCAGTGTCTCCGTTTGCTCTCTCTCTCAGCTTCAACATCAAGCCTTTCAGCTTGGGGAAGGCTGTGCAGTGCTGCATTGAGTGCCTATTCTTGTCTTTAAAGGTGCTGTCTTACTGGTGCTGGTACATACATGGAGTTCCAGTGGTGTTCTCTTCATCTACAGATGTCTTGATGGTGAGACAAGGACACAGATCAAGCAGGACAGAAGAGAAACAAAATGCTCTCGGTTTCTTTAATTCAACACCAAAATAGTCAAAATATAACTCTGCTTTGCTTCTATTACTAAAAAAAAAAAATCATTCTAAACAGATGCCCTTTTAATGCAGATGCTTAGAAAATTACTTAGTCTCCACCAGAATTTGTAGATCATTTTAAAGTGTTACGTGCTGAAAGTAGCAGTTTCCTGGCTGTCTGCCATTTGGAACTGGGTAGAGCATTAATGCCACCTGCTGAAAAGTCTCATTGGACCTGCTCAAGGGAAGATAAATATGTTATACTTGTGGCTTGGAGGTTTTAACAACAACTGGTAATGTTGATGACATTCTTCAGGTGGTAAATAAAACCACAATTTTTTTAATCTGATATATTCTTCCTCTTGACAGGTGGAGGTTTAATTCACTTCCCCCCATGTATAAATCTCATTCTTTATCATTTATTATCATTTATCTGAAAGGGTATCTGACCCCATGTTTCTGGGGTCTTAAAGGAGAATTGTAGTTCTAAATTTTTGTTAAGAGAGGAGTCCTGATTTTAATACATAGAAGATAGCCAGTGATTTCACAGGAAGTTCAGAATGTCTGGATTTATACAGCTTTTTGAGGAACACATTTCATTTCACTATTGTTTTTAGGAAACTGATTTTTACCATAACAAAGGTCTGCCTGTACCTGAGAAAAAAATATTACATGAAATACAGAATATGTATTTGAGGGACAGAAAAAGTGTGGGATGTACCATGATGTCCCAGATACAAGAGTCAAAGCTGGAGAGTCTGGCCCTAAAGCAAGACCTACCTAATTTTACACAGTAGTTTGCTACTGTAGCAGTCAAGCAGCTTTCTGATCCCCGTCTTTAAAGTGTATGTCTTTTAAATGTTGCTTAAAGTCCCAATCTTACTATGTATTTAAAACTTTTCTTAATGTTCCTTAAAAATTCCATTCCTGCAATCAAGTGGTGATGTGAAAATCTCATCTTCAGTTTAAAAGAGTTTTAGTTTTTCAGCTTTTTGTTGTGGGGAAAAAAAATTTACTAATGTAATTCCTGTCAAAATTTTTAATTTATGTCTCTTTGCACTACACATACAGACAGACTGTGGATTGATGTAAATTAAACAGATTTTAATCCAGGAAGGTCAGACCAGATTCAGTAGCTTCCATGCTATTAGTGAACAAAGTGAGAGTGAGATCACAGTGTGCCAGAATGTGAGAACCAGCCCTGAGTAAAAGACCAAGGAGCAGAGCCAATGCAGTGGAAAGCTCTTCCTTTTTAGCTCTGACCCCTTCAGTCACCAGTTTACAGCTAGATCAGCTTTCTGACAGAAAATCTTTGTGAACCACCTTCAATAAGGTTTAGGGGGGGAAAAATATTCTTTTTGTTATGTTGGAAAACTAACATAAGATAAAATGCTACAGGCATTAACTCCTGGATTCATACTTTGTAAGTAATAATTACAGTATCACTGTGGCTGCTTTTATTTTAAAGTCAGTGGAGAGGGAAAATGTTGCTATATAAAACTGCCTTCTGGAAACACCTCCTTTCTCCAGGTCAGTAGTAAGGTCAGAGTGCAAACATAGAAAAGTTGGGTGCATGATCTGATGTCAAGAAGCAGCTGATGCTTGTGAACAAATACTCCCTGAGAGGGAAGAACCCACCTATTCTTCCTGCTCATGATAATCCCCTTTGAAACTGCTGGCTGAAAATTTGCTGGTCTTAAAATAATTTTCTCCCTTGTCAGACTACACAAACCAGGAACAAAGACTTCTTTTAAAAGTCAGTCAGAATAATACAGTACAGTATTAACCAAATTACTATTATCACCAAATGACCTGAATTTCCAGCTATATTAAAAAAATGAGATTATGTTGTGAAAAATACAGGGGAACCCCCAAATATATTATATCTATATAATATTAAATAATAATAATAATAATAATAATAATAATAATAATAATAATAATAATAATATATTTATATTATTATTTATAGAATATATATTAAAAACATTATAGGCTCTGCATGGATGTTTGGTAGTGTGGTATTTGGAATTTAATGTTGCATTAATGCCCCCTGCTGATAAGCCTTCAAAATCTAGTTTGATTCAAGCTCAGAATGTAATAGTCTTCTGCATCAGTACATCCCTTATAATAAAAACAACAACAACAACAAAAATCTAGCATATATCTCGTCATCACTGGGTTCTTCTTAAATAAATCACATTTCTTTTAAGTCTGCTACATAACAAGGTCTGTCACAAAACCAGTAATAACAGCTCCGTCGAATTTTCCCACATTAATCCCTTCTGCTCGTGATGTAGTTAAAGGTCCAGTTATGTAGTATAATTGGATAGAATCTGAATTTTAAAGGAGAAAAAGAACCTTTTTATGATGATTTCATAAAGAAAGCAAATCATTGTAATGAAATGCAACTTGCCAAAAAAGCAAAATTGCAAGAAGTTGAGCAGATATACAAAGTTGTACTAGACGACTCTAAGTCACAAAATCATTGAGGTTGGAAAAGCCCCCTAAGAGCACCAAGTGCAGCCATTGACCCAGCACTGCCAAGTCCATCACTAGCTCATGTCCCTAACCCATGATCCTAAATTATAAGCCGTTTCACAATTTTATCATCTATTTTCTAAGTAAATAAAATATTTTTTTAGTATTGATTTTTACAGAGATTCTCACAGCACAGGTATTACTTGATTCCACAAGAGAGAGGAGGATCCATTTTCTCCCTCTTCAAGCCGTGGAGAAATGCTTTTCCTCTGCTGACAGTAATTAAAAAGGCACTACTGTGCTTTATCCAGTTTCTGTCACCTGTGCTGCTGCATCCTTCCTTTATCCATTTATCTCCCTGTTTCTCTGAGGTGCACAAAATCTCGTGCAAGTGCCCATAGCGTTGGCTGACCACCTGAAGCTTGTGGGGACATCTACCCCGGCGCGTCACTACGTCTGAAGAGAGTGAGAAGACCTGTCCCTCTCCAGCATCAAAATCTGAGCTTTTCTCAGACAGAGCTGATGTAAAGAGCCCCTCCCAAGGCAGCCCACCTCTTTGTGGTACAGTGAGAGAAGGCTCAGGCTGTTACAGACAGAGTGTGGGTAGACGTCTCTCCTTACTTCAGGCTGTCAGTTTCAGCCTGTGATCAATCCATGGATCATACTTACCTGTCAAGGAAAGCAGGCTTAAATTTATTACATAAGAATCACTGGTGAAAAGTAAAAGTCTTTACATGAAAAAGTTGAAAAACTTTGTTTTAAACTGAGAAACCTAGAGTAGTGTATAAAGTGCGCTGAGTTATATCTGAGTTATATAAATTGAGGTAATCAAGGTATTTCATACTGTTGCTTACTTTATTTTCTACATATGAAAAGGTTTTACTGGTTAGAACGTTTTTATGCCTTTATGTCTGTTGCCATTAAGAGACTTGTACTGCTTTAACTGCACAGTTAGAGCTGGAGAAATCTGGATTCTTTATGTGGGTGAGCTCTTAGGTAACATTAAGCTATTACAGTGTACACCTCACCATTCTTCAAGGACCATTATATAAAAAAGAAGCTGAAAGAGTTTTTTACCAGATGTCAGTATTTTTAGAGGTCATGCTACTCTAACAAAACACCTGCTGAAATAAGTGCCTTAGGAAGACATGAAGTCCTTTTTTTTTTGTCTGAGCATGTTTTCTTCAGCCATACAAACTATACCTAATCCATACTTAATTGCTAAAATGGTGAAATAAGACAATAAGTTCATGAAATGGACTTGTAAAAGGCTTTGCAGAGACTGCTTTGATTTCTACACAGCTCCAGCTTCAAAAGCCTGTATGCCTTAATAAACCTCTCTGCCTCCACTGCCCAGCTTGTGCTTGCACTCTGAATGGACTTCAGAACTCCTGTAACAAAGCCACATCCTGTGTCAGGCTGCTGCAGACAGGGTTGCTGTGTGCCACAGTTGCATAAAAAAAACTGATTTCAGAATCAGTTATATAATGTCAGGGAGAGAGAACATCTTGAGGAGTGGCAGTGTAGAAAGACCACTGGATTTCATATTTAATCTGACAGTGTAAATTAAATGGCTATTCAGCATAATGAAATAATTCACTTGTATTTGTTTTACTGTTATGTGGAATTCTAATAGAGGTTCCTTTGGTCTCTGTCTCTTCTATTGTGCAAAATAATGTTGTAATGAATAGTCCTGTGTCTATTTTTTTTTCTTGTTGTTTTGCTGTATTTTGATAAAAAGGTGATTTGCTGCATTCAGTTTCTTGGCAATAATAAAAGCTTGTGCAGTCAGCCTGATCCTTAAAATCCATTACAAACATTAATTTGCTGCAGTTGCAAACTTCAGGAGCCTTTGCTGTCCAGTTCGTTTCTCTTTCCACAGACCTGGGAGTGCTGCGAAAGTGTGAAGGTGAAAACTTTAAAGTTGAATCACTTGTGATAAAATGGCACACAACAGATGCTTCACAAACTGCTGTAGACTGAGGCTTTTGTTGAACCCCTAAGGGTTCATCCTGCTAATTCCCATTAACAGATAATGGGGGACAAGCACCTGCCACCCTCACACCTCAGTGTGAAATTTCAGCTGCTGGCACATCTGGATCAGACGGGCTTCTAATATGGTAGTCTTCATCTTCTTTGTTATTTGTAAATACAAGTTTGTCTGAAGGCATGTTCAACATTTCCTTATCACTTGAGTACTCCAATGTCTGAAAATGTAGATCTTTCTTAAGACGTTGTAGTAGGTCTGTCAGAACAGATGATTTCAGGAGCCCTGAGGAGAATTCCCAGAGAGAATACTGTAAAAAGGCTTGGCAAAATAACTGTTTCAAGTCAAATTACCCAAATGCAGTATTTTCTGAGAGTCTGCAATTCTTCTGCCAGAAGGAAGATTGATTATTTAAGAAAACAAAATATAACTAAAATGTTGGGTTTTTTTTCTTTTTTGTCAGTTACAAGCAC